AGGTTTAGGGCTGAGGCTTCCCCTGAACCGTGCCAAGCACGTGTCTCAGGGTTTAGGGCTCAGTTTCTAGACTTGGCAGGCCGACCCTTCTATGAGACGCTGAGTGAAGCCCCAAACCCTGGACTACAAAGCCCCTACAGCAGCAGAACTGGGTTCCCCCAAACCCTGAAGCCTTTAAACCGTAAATCCTGTAAACCCTTAAACCTCAACCCTCATCCCTCAACCCTCACCGCCCATCTTGCAGCTGAAATTACTCGGAAGTGCAGATGACTAGGGTTGCCGGGCGGAGGATTCGAGGATCTGTTGGGGTTTAGGGAGGGTTTGAGGCTTGTGTAGGGGCCCTGTAGGCAGCCCTATGGCCCAATGATGCAACCTTACATATCCTGAAAAAACCAGCGCGTCAAGGGACCAAGGGAATAGAAGTGGGACCTGATTTCCTAGTTTCCTACTCAGAAAACTAAACCCCGAACCCTAACAAGAGCAGAATTCGGAAACGTTTCGCTTCATCCGCTGCGCAGCGTTCGAAGAAGCTCCTGTCAGGCGCATGGCTCCAGGTTCAGAATTCTGGAGGGTTCAGAGTGTAGTGGTTAGGGGGCTTAGGGTTGAATGTTGCAGTACAAGGCTTGGCGGAGGATGAGCATGGATTTTCGAGTTTCAACCCGCGTCCTAGGTGGACCGGGGGTAGGTACCTGGGGCACCTTAAGGAAGCTTAGGGAGCCTTAGGGAGTAGTGGGAGTACTAGGGAACCTTGGGTTGCATTTTCCCTGGAACCCCCCCTCCCTTAAGAACCCTATAATTTCAAGGCAGACGTGGCTTTCAGCAAAGCACTTCGGCTCTAGGCTTACTAGAGTACCCTGTGCCACTCCGAAACGCTAGGCTACAAAAAGGGGTCAGAACAACCAAGACCCTGTCAACAAAACCTTAAACCCTAAACCCTAAACCCTAAACCCTAAACCCTAAACCCTAAACCCTAAACCCTAAGCCCTAAACCCTAAACCCTAAACCGACAGGGTGGTTTAAGGGCTCGAGGCTTCCTGAACTGAATCGTGACAGTTCAAGTGCTCGTTGCCGCCAAGACACCACTGAAACGGTTTAGGGTTGAGGGTTGAGGGTTGAGGGTTTAGGGTTTAGGGTTTAGGGTTTAGGGTTTGGGGTTTAGGGTTTAGGGTTTAGGGTTTAGGGTTTAGGGTTTAGGGTTTAGGGTTTAGGGATTAGGGAAACCTCAAATTCTGAACCCCAAGCCCCCAGCCCATGATCCCCTAAACCCAAAGAGCCCGTATCTTGAACCCTGAAACCCAAAACCCAAAACAATCTCTACATCCTGAACCCTAAACACCCCCAAGCTCGAGCGGATGCCCCAGACCACTGCCTGACTTGAGGTTCTTGTTCGAAGTCTCAGCTGACAGTAACAGTAGCAACCGCCGGAACAGCGAAAAAAGGCTTAATCCCTAACCCTAAACCCTAAACCCTAAACCCTAAACCCTAAACCCTAAACCCTACACCCTCATGAGACTCACGAGTCGCAGCGAGTAGGGTTCCATAAATCCTGCACACCCTAGACCCCTAAACCCTAAACCCTAAACCCTAAACCCTAAACCCTAAACCCTACACCCTCAACCCTAACCCAAAGGGCTTAGGGTTTAGAATCTCAGGACTTACACCCTAAACCTTAAACCCCAACCGAGAGTTAGGGTTTAGAATCTCAGGACATGCACCCTAAACCTTAAACCCTACCTCACAGTGCTTAGGGTTTAGAATCTCAGGACTTTTAGGGTTTCAGGCCAGCTCCTGATAGGTCTCACCCTGAACCCCCAAACCCTCTGCAGCCTGCTCGTTGCACCACGACCTAAACCCGAAACCCTGAGCCCTAAACCCTAAACCCTAAACCCTAAACCCCAAACCCCAAACCCTAAACCCTAAACCCGATGGGGCCTGGGCGGGGAGACAGCCGGGGTCCAGGGAGAGAGCCAGCCGAGCATCGGCCTTGTCTGGAGCTTATCGGGTTTCAGGGCTTTAGGGGTTGTGGGGTCTTAGGGTTTAGGGTTTAGGGTTTAGGGTTTAGGGTTCAGGGTTCAGGGTTTAGGGTTTAGGGTTTAGGGTTTAGGGTTTAGGGTTTAGGGCTAGGGTTTAGGGTTATGGGGTTTGAGGGCGTTGTGGGGTTTTAGGGCCATCGGGTTTGAGGGTTTTTGGTAGGGGAGCTGTACATAATAAGGGTCCATACTTCGGATCCCAGTAAATCCGTTAAACAAGGGCGGTAAGGTACCACACGAAGGGCCCCTGGTTCCAACCGTTTATTTTAAGGGCTGTAGGGCATTAGGGTTTGGGGGTTTAGGGCTTAGAAGCTTCGGGTTTGGGGTTTAGGGGTTTATGGCTTATTTTAGGGGCTTTAGGGGTTGTAGGGGCTTTAGGGGTTTTGGGGCTTTAGGGCTGCAGGTTTTGGGGCTTCGGGGCTGCATGGGATGAGGGGTTTGAGAGGTTCTCTAAACCCTAAACCCTAAACCCTAAACCCTAAACCCTATACCCTAAACCCTAAACCCTAAACCCTAAACCCTGTTATCAACTTGGGGCTTTAGCACCATTTGGCGTGTTGTGCACACATCGCATGCTCCCGATGAAACAGGATTCCGTAGAGGCAACTCCTTCAGCCCCAAATCCGTTGCCTGTTTAGAGTTTAAGCCCTAAACCCTGAACCCTGAACCCTAAACGGCCCTAAACGCTAAACCCCAAACCCTAAACCCTAGGGTCTAGGGTTTTAGGGGTTAGGGTTTGGGCGGGCAGTTTCCTCAAGCTTCAGGCGCTGAAATGCTTATCCGCAGGGCACGTCTCTGTGGGTGATTTGCCAGCTTTCCACTCCTCCTGACTGAACAGTCCTCAGAACCAGAAACCCTACCTACGCCCAAATCCTACTACATTTCAAACACCCGGCGTCCGGCGCCCACGAGTCCGCGAGATAAAAACCTGAGCTAGAACCCTAGAAAGCCTCCAAACTCTATGAAACCCTACAACCCCCCCAGGGGAAATAAAAATCCCAAGAATACCCTAAACTCCCTGGAAATCCCTTACCCTAAAAACCCTAAATTCCCTACATCCCCCTACATCCCCTAAACCCGCCAAAGTCTCTCAGACCCAAACCCTAAACTTTACATTCTTTACCCGAATCCCTAAGCCCTGAACCCAACACCCTAAACCCTAAACCCTAAACCCCAAACCCTAAACCCTAAACCCTAAGCCCTAAACTCTCTGAACCCTAGCCTCTGCACCACCAGCAGTGCGCCGGCAAAGCAGGGCGGCACGGAGGGGCCCGAGCTCGGGCCAGGTCTGCAGCCCAGGGCTCAGATTTGAGGGTTTAGGGTTTAGGGTTTAGGGTTTAGGGTTTAGGGTTTCCGGTTTCGGGTTTAGGGTTTAGGGTTTAGGGTTTAGGGTGGAGGGTTGAGGGTTGAGGGTTGAGGGTTTAGGGTTGAGGGTTTAGGGTTTAGGGTTTAGGGTTTAGGGGCTTCAAGGGTTTTGCGGCTTCAAGGGTTTTGTGGCTTCAAGGGTTTTGGGGCTTCAAGGGTTTAGGGGCTTCAAGGGTTTGAGGGTTTGGGGCTGGGTTTGGGGGGTTTTGGGGTTTTGGGGGTTTTGGGGGTTCTGGGTTTGCAGGGGTTTAGGGTTTAGGGTTTAGGGCTTGGATGGTTCGAGGGTTTAGAGTTCAGGGACTTTGGGGGTTTCGATCTTTTGTTTTTGAGGGGGGGGGGAGGGATTTAGGGCCATTTAGGGCTTTTAGGGTTTTGGGGTTTGCGGTTTGGGCTTTAGTGGCAGCTGTAGGGGCGCTGGGGGTTTGGTGCTTTGTGTGGGGCTGTAGCCCGAAACCCCAAACCCCAAAACCCCAAACCCCAAACCCTAAACCCTAAACCCTAAACCCTAAACCCTAAACCCTAAACCCCAAACCCTAAACCCTAAACCCTAAACCCTAAGCCCCAGAGCGCGAAACGGTGCGCCTCCGGCTCCAAGCAGCGGAGCCCGCGACTCGCTGCTGCGTGGGTTTCCGACCTCTCTGGGCTGGGTTTAGGGTTTAGGGGTTAGGGTTTGGGGTTAGGGTTTAGGGTTTGGGGTTTAGGGTTTAGGGTTTAGGGTTTTGGGTTTAGGGTTTTTAGGGTTTAGGGTTTCGGGTTTCGGGTTTCGGGTTTAGGGTTTAGGGTTTAGGGTTTAGGGTTTAGGGTTTAGGGTTTAGGGTTTAGGGTTTAGGGTTTAGGGTTTAGGGTTCAGGGTTCAGGGTTTAGGGTTTAGGGTTGGCGTCTAAAGGGCTTCTAAGGTTTAGGGTTTAGGGGTTTCGTGGGTGTGAAGGGTATATAGGGTTTATAGGGATTGTGGGGTTTATAAGGATATTAGGTTGAAAGGGTTGCTAGGGTTTATAGGGTTCTTGGGGGATTTTAAGGGTTTCTAGCGTTTGTAGGGTTTTTGAGGGTTTATAGTTAGGTGTTCTTAGAAGCCCGGCGCTGCCGGTGGGCACCAATACACAACGGTAATTGTTTTATAAGCACAATAATTGTTGGTAAAATTGTTTAATTGTTACAACAATTGTTATAACAATTGTTTAATTGTTACAACAATTGTTAGAACAATTGTTTAATTGTTACAACAATTGTTAGAACAATTGTTTTATTGTTAAAACAATTGCTGCTGAAATTGCTTACAAGTTGCTAATAATTGTTGCAGCACCGCCGCTGCCAGCGTCGTACGTCGTATTAAGTATTACGTCGTATATGTCTATACGTCATGCGTCATACGTCACACGTCATGCCTCGTATGTCATATGCTTACGTCATACGTTATGTTATGCCATGCTATGTCATACGTCATACGTCGTCATACGGTCTCTCCCCCCCCCCTTTCGCATCGATCTTCCGCTCGCAAGAATCGTCGAGAGTCAAGAGTCTCGAGTGAGCCAAAACTAGGTCCTCTTTGGGCCGCTTGCTCGAGAAGATCAAGACGCGCGGGCGGGCCGCGACAATGGATCCGAATCAGAAGTCTTCATCGTCGTCTTCCGCAGCCTGCGAGTCTCCCGGCCCGAGGCCCCCTGATGACAGCAGGAACATGGCGCCTAAGGCCGTTTCAACAGCCATAGCGTTGGACTCCTGCTGCGCTGGCTGCAGCCACAAGGCTGACAAAGCGGCTTGCATCATGCTCAGGACCACTGGCAACGCCATTGCGTTTCCCGCGAGGTCTTGGAGCAAAGAATCGGTGGGAAACTCCTTTTGCTTGGCTGTCGCGGCCTCTGCTGTCACGAGGTAGCCTTCCTCATTCATTCTCATCAAGCACGGGCCGATCGGAAAGCCCTGCAGCATCATGGCCTCGAATCCGCTGAGCAAGCGCGGCTGAGGTTGTGTCAGGTTTGTCCACATCAGTTGCCCTGGTAGCATGGTAGGGCCAAGGTGCGTGCCATCTTCCTGCCTGGTGACAAAGTTGTTGCGGCCGATGCTCTGAGCAAGGTTCCTGAAACCCGCGCTAGGCGCTTCCACCTCTGAAAGCTTCAACGCGTCGGCTTCCCGCTCTGTGAGCAGCTGGAACCATTTGTTCCCTTGCAGCGCCTCACCCGGCGCCGAGGCCCACCGTACTCCCAGGGAGTCTGCGTGTTTCATGTGCTGGTTGACCCAGTTGACTGTCTTTGTAGAAGGGCTCTTCTTGGCCTGGCTTTTCTGCGCGCGCGCCAGCCGCTCTTCATAACTCTTTTCAACTGCCTCATGATCGTCGTCTAGCAACACCTTGGAGAGACAAGGCGGTGAGCGAGCGCAACTGCTGACAAGCTGGCGAAACTTTTGCATGACGATATCAAGTGGCCTGCTGAGCAAGTCGAGCTTGGGACTGCGTTTGTTCACGAGCAATATGTACACTCTGTGGCGATGAACAGGCAGCCCAAACTCGCACGCGTCAGTCATGACTGGCTGCGCCTCGTATCCCAAAGCGTGGAACTTGCCCAGCAGTATCTTGAGGTTATTGTCCTCGCATGCACCAGCTTGGTCGTTGATGGCATCAACGTTTTCGTAGAGCACGCAGAGCGGGCGATGACTCTCAACATAGCCGAGAAGGCCAGCGAAGGTCTGCGCTGAGCCGCCCCGGCTTGAAGCCTGCGCGAGGACCTGCTTGCTTGTCCTACTGCCGGCGCCTGCGCCGTCCGCAGTATGGTTCAGCCTACTCAGATCCTTGCAAGAGGTCCCAACCACCAAAATGTCGACTGAAGGAACGTCGCATGACCTGTTATGTTTGCAGCACGCGGCCTCAAGCCCCTTCAACTCCGTGATGTCCTGAAACACGCAATGGCCAAAGCCAATGCCGCCATGTTCAACGTGACCGAAGCTCTCGTGGTCGATTGCAGGAGGCCAGTCGTCAGAGTCGATGTCGCGCAATGGGCCCACTGCCAACAAGGCCTGGATCCACTTCTGCTTCTCGGGCGCACCTTGGGAGCATAGCAGCCGATGAACAACTCCTACTTGTATTTGAAGGGTTTTGAGGCGGCTTGCAGGCAGGCTTTAAGTCAGCGTTAAGCCAACTTTAAGCCTTAACCGTAGCATCATCATTAAACTTAAGCAAGCCTTTAAGCCTTAAGCCTTAAGCCTTAAGCCTTAAGCCTTAAGCCTTAAGCTTTAAGCCGTAAGCCTTAAGCCTTAAGCCTTAAGCCTTAAGCTTTAAGCCTTAAGCCTTGAACTTAAGCCTTAAGCCTTTGAGCCAGCCTTAAGCCTTAAGCCTAAGCCTTAAGCCTGAAGCCTTAAGCCTTAAGCCTTAAACCTGAAGCCTTAAGCCTTAAGCCTTAAGCCTTAAACCTGAAGCCTTAAGCCTTAAGCCTTAAGCCTTGAACTTAAGCCTTGAACTTAAGCCATAAGCCTTTAAGCCAGCCTTAAGCCTTAAGCCTGAAAACCTTAAGCCTGAAGCCTTTAGCCTTAAGCCTTAAGCCCTTAAGCCTTAAGCCTTAAGCCTTAAGCCTTAGGGCCTTAAAGCCTTAAGCCTTAAGCTTAAGCCTCAAGCCCCTTATTAGAGCCTTAGAGCTTCAGCAAGAAACTAAACGCAACGCAAAATTCAACTTACACTTTACTTATGAGCAATCTTGAGGCCGCGCCTAACAAAAGTCCTACGCTTAGAGGGACTTGAGCCTTGCTTCGGTCTACCGCAGGTTTGAGAAGCAGAAGCGACAGTAACAAGGGTCTAGTCAAAACGGTCCAAGAGGCGTTCGCAGCTGAAAACGTGCTCCAGCGAAACTGGCACGGACATGCGCTTGTAGGCTGCGTTCATGGCCTCCATCACGTAGAACGCGCCCTCTGAGCCGGAGCAGGCTGACGCCCACGACAGCTCCAGCGCTTCAGGCTGACTTGCCGCTTGTCCGCAGCACAAAGGGCTGTCGGGATGCATGGACTTGAACTGCTGCAAGTTCTCGAGGGCCAACGCGTGGAGCATGGTGCCATCGACGATGTCAGCTGCTAACACCACCCGGCGCGAGGCCGCTATCATGAGACCAGGCTCAGCGGAGTCTTGCTTGGTCAAAGACCGTGGCTTCTTTTGCTTAGGCTCCATGTCTGTCTGCCTCGCCTTCGGCAACGAGCTGTCGAGAGCGCGGGCTAGCGACAGGACTGCTACGACTACCACGGCTACGGCTACGCTGACTACAGCCCTCACTGAGCCGCAAGCAAAGAGTCTAACAGTCTACTAAAGAGTCTAAGTCTAAGTCTAAGTCTAAGACTTTAAGACTTTACTTTAAAGTTTAAAGCTTAATTAAAGACTCTAAGACTCTAAGACTCTAAGACTCTAAGATTCTAAGACTCTAAGACTCTAAGACTCTAAGACGCTAAGTCACTAAGACTCTAAGACTCTAAGACTCTAAGACTCTAAGACTCTAAGACTCTAAGACTCTAAGACTCTAAGACTCTAAGACTCTAAGATCCTAAATGCCGCTGAAGGCCCCTAAGATGACGCGTAGCGCCTAAATACGAATCGTAGTCTTGGATTCTCTTGCGGGGTTTTGGGATTTTGGGCTTCAAGTTCCAAACACGAGGCAAGTTTATTTGACGTTGACGCCGCTACAGCTGGCATTCTAAATTACTCTCAACCAATCTTCTCAACTTTTCCTCTGAAACCCTGGCCGCCAAAACCTACGATGCTTTACGACGAACCCTAAAATTACACTCCAAGCGCCTTAGGCCCTAGGCCCTAAACTTTGGCCCTAAACCCTAAACTGGCCCTAAACTCCCTAAACTTAGACTTCAACCCTAGGCCCTAGGCCCTAGGCCCTAGGCCCTAGGCCCTAAACTGCCCTAAACCTAAACTCTCAACCCGGCCCTAAACCCGTTGCCCTAGCCCGAAGCCTAATGTTTACGTAGGCCTTCGGCCTTCCTTAGGCCTTAGGCCAGCCTTAGGTCCTAGGTCCTAGGTCCTAGGCCTTAGGCCCTAAATCCTAAAACCGGCCCTAAACCCTATAGGCCCTAAACTTGCCTAAACTAAACTAAACTAGACCCTAACCGAAACCCTAACTACACTAAAGGCCCTAAAACCCTAAGGCCCTAAGCCGAAGCCTGAAGCCCTAAAAACTAGGCCAGCCGAATCTAGCAGCGGAGCAAAGCGCAGGCGCCTTTTTTTCGGACGCGGCGACCTGTAACCCCGCGAAGTCCTGAGCACGACTGCGTCGAAATGGCGCTGGGACATCTCAGTAAACGTCTCAGGCCTTAGGCCCTAGGCTTAGGCTTAGGTGGCTTAGGCTTAATTATCGTGGCTACTTATAGGCCTAGGTCCTAGGCTCGAAGCCTTGTCTTGCGACTGTGGCTCTTGCGGACTGTTGCGATTCTGAAATTTGAACTCACCCAGCCAAAGGCCCGACCTTCCCGCCGCCGCCGGCGTCGCAGCTCTCAAAAACTAACGGCACGAGCTGCCGGCACAGCAGGCGCGAGAGAAGCAGCTTGGATAGAGCCTACGGATGAGCAGCTGGGCCGACCAGCTTGGCCGCCGGCCCGAACTGTCTACAGCGTCTACAGGTCGCCCTAGCCTCTGCCTCTTCCCCTACCCCTGCCGGCTTTCGGAGTCGCCTTCGCCTTCGGCCCGGCCTTCTTCTCTTCGCCGATGTCTTTCTTGGCCTTCTTGCTCTTCTGCGCCTCGTTGTCGCTCGCGTCCTCCTCGTCCGTGTCGCTGTCCTCCTTAGCCTTCTTCTTCTTCTTCTTGCTCTTGGCCTTTTCCTGGACCTTGTCCGACTTGTCCTTGTCCTTATCTTTCTTCTTGTCGCTCTTGTCCTTTTTCGTCACTTCGTCCTTCGCTTCTTTCTTTGACAGCTTTGACTTTGGCAGCATTGAAGCTGACTCGCCTGCTTCCAGGACCTCCTCAGCTTCGTCTCCGGCGGCTCTCTTTGAGCCACGCTTCACAGACTTCTGCCGCGCCAGCACAAGCTTGGACTGGGTCACAATCCCGTCCGCAAAGCTCAAGAAAGCCTTGTCAAACTCATCGCTGTCGCTCGCTATCTCCTTCATCTTGCCCAGCTTCCCCACCAAAGACTTCACGACGTCGCGGAGCTGCTCAAAGCTGTCTGCCGAAGGCGAAGGTGCTTGAAGCGCCGGGCTGCGCAGCAATCAAAGGTTCGCGACTAAGGCCACGACAGATCCTGCCCGAGCAACCAGGCCGCTTGTCTGTTTGAGGAACTCTGAGCTGACGCGCTTCGCTGCTTCTCCGCAGCTCTGGAGGAGGGCAGCATCGGGCGCTCTGTCTGAGAAGCGCGCATTCATGCAAGCCTCTGCGCTACTGGCGTTCTGCTTCAGAGAAGAAGCCTCCTGCTCCAACTTGGCCGTGAGGCCTGCCACTTTCTGCACAACTTGAACGCCCGCTTCTCGAAACGCAACCTCGTCTGCGAAGTCAGGCAGCTTCTTCAGCACTGCGTCGACCTCGACTGAAGTCGCAGACACCCGGGCAAAGCCCTCGCTCAAACGCTCCTTTGCCTGCGTCAAGAAGTCGGCGGCAACGGAGAGCAGCCAGTCGTCCACGCTGTCTAGCTGGCTGCACGTCAAATGCTCAGCGACGCTAGCGTCGCTTGGGATCTTGGCCCTCGCTTCGCGCAACTCAGAGCTCATGGTCGTCAGCGTCTCTGCCAGCTTGGCCTCCTTCTTTGCGGGGTTGGAGTCGAGGACGACCTGCAAAGCAACGAGCCCCCAGCTACGCAAGAAAAGCCAGATCTCAAAGTCTCAAAGCCTCGCATGCCCAACCATCAACTCTGAGGACTCTAAGACTCTAAGACCCTAAGACTCTAAGCCTCTAAGATGCATATCTATAGTCTATATAGCCTACAGGGCCATACGGCGTGCAGGGCCTATAGCCTATAGGGCCTATAGCCTACTGGCCACTAGGCCTGAGTCTAGAGTCTAGAGCCTTTTTGAACCTTTAGGAACTATATATATATATATATATATAGCATATCGCATATAGTATATAGTAGTATATAGTATACAGTATATAGTATATAGTATATAGTATATAGCATATAGCATATAGTATATAGTATATAGTATATAGTATATAGTATATAGTGTTTGCAGTCTTAGGCTTTAGTATAGCCTAGGGCCTATAGCCTAGTGGGCCTGTATAGAGCCTATAGCCTGCCTGTAAATCTTGCATGAGTATAAAGATAGATACACACACGCACGCAGATATATGTATTATGTATATATATATATAATATACATACATATGAACGTTTGGCCAGACGCTCCTGAAAGAAAGCGGAGCACAAACTTCGGAGAGGGTGATCCGACGGGATCTTGCACAAGAGCTCGTCAACGCTTTGCTGGGTGAGGGGCGCCTGTCCCTTCTTTACCTGGGCTACGACCTGGGCAACCGCTGCTAGCCCTGCCGAGAAAGCGGTCTTGAAGTGGTCAGCGCACCGTTGGAAGCACGTCTTGGCAGCCTTCTCCTTGTCTTCGTCTTTTACGACCCACTCCCCCAACTCAGTCGACAACTGGTTGGCCCAGTGCCGCATGGTAGCAGCCGTCGGCTCCGTCTTGGGTAGGTGCTGGAACGAAGGAAGCTGGCGAAACAAGTACTCCCCCATTTTGCAGAAAGCATCTGCGAATTTCTTGTACCTGCCCAAGCACGTCACCTTGCCAGGCACGTCTTTCCAGACGTGGTGCTCAACGAAGCTGGTCTGCTGGATCACTGGCCAAGTGTCGTCCAAACTGAGCAGCTGCGTGTGGCCGCCATCGTCGCCGCAAGACACTCTGCCGTCGTTCTCCAAACCTTCGCAGATGGCCAGCCTGAGCTGCGCAAAGAAGAGGGGATTGACTCGGATTGACTACGCCTCGCGCATAAGACTCCTAGATCTCCCGGCTCGTATTAATATGTGGCTCGCAGGCTTGAAGCTAGCAACTAACTCTCTCTCTCTCTCCCTCTCTCCCTCCCTCACTCCCTCCCTCCCTCCCTCCCTGTTTCACGTAATATATACTGACTTATGACTTATACATATAATATATATCCACGCGTAAAGAGCAGTACAAGGGTCTGAAACTTCCAAAACCAAAACTACATCAAGAAAGCTCAGCCACGCCCTGAAAGACTTAGCCTTAAGCCTTAAGCCTTAAGCCTTAAGCCTTAAGCCTTAAGCCTTAAGCCTTAAGCCTTAAGCCTTAAGCCTTAAGCCTTAAGCCTTAAGCCTTAAGCCTTAAGCCTTAAGCCTTAAGCCTTAAGCCTTAAGCCTTAAGCCTTAAGCCTTAATTAAGCCTTAAGCCTTAAACTTAGCCGCAGCCTTAAGCGTTAAGCCTTATGCCTTAAGTCTTAAGCCTTAAACTCCTTAAATTTTAACTCCTTAAGCCTCAAGCCTTAGGACTTAAGACTTAAGACTCTTCTTAAGACTTAAGATTCTTAACTTAAGATGTAAGGCTTCAGACTCACGAGGGGCCTCGGGCCGGTCTGACAACGCGTTAAGCATCAAAATCACCATAAGAGCAAACCGTATCCAGAAGGCTCAGCCAGGGCCTAAGGCCTATACAGTCTACAGGCTCTAACGCCCTAAGGCTAAGGGTCTAAGGCTTCAGGCCTAGGGCCTAGGGCCTAGGGCCTAAGGCCTGAGGCCTAGTCTTGGTCTTGAGCTTAAAGGGGCCTCGGGCATAGCGCTTTCCTGGCAACGCCAAGCTTCTCTGCCCAGATTTAGCTTCGTCCTGAGGACTGATCTTTTATGCTTGTGAGGCTTAAGGCTGATGTCTACGGGTTTCGGGCCTAAGCGGTCCTAAAGCCCTAAGGCCCTGAGGCTTAAGGGCTTTTGGCTAGGCTTAAGGCTTCAGGTAATTACGGTAAAGGCTAAGGGGCGAAGGCTGGCTTAGGGCTCAGGGCTTGGGGCTTAGTGCTTAGGGGCTTAGGGCTTAGGGCTTAGGGCTTAAGGGTTTTGGCTTAAGGCTAAGGGCTCAAGGGCTTAAGGCTTAAGGGCTTAAAGGGCTTAAGGGCTTAAGGGCTTAAGGCTTAATGCTTTAACTTTGACTGTAACTTTAATGCGGCATTCAGGGCAGTTTCGGGCCTGAGGTTTGAGTTTAGAGCTTAGGGCATTTAGGCTAGGGCCAGGGACCTAAGGCCCAAGGCGCTCAGTCACGGTTAGGGCCTAAGGCCTAAGGGTTTAGTTTAGACTCAGACTTTAGACGTTAAGCCAGCCTTTAAGCCTTTAAGCCTACTTTAAGCCTTAGGGCCTTAAGCCTTGAGCCTTTAAGCCTTAAGCCTTAAGCCTTTAAGCAAGCCTTTAAGTCTTTAAGTTGTTAAGTCACTTTAAGACTTTAAGACTTTAAGACTTTAAGACTTTAAGAAGACTCTGTAAGTTGTAAGCTTTGAACTTTAAACATCATTAGACTTTGGGGCCTGGGTTCAGTTTAGGTAGGTGGTTTAGCCTGGTTTAGGCTTGGGATTGATTTAGGATGGGGCCTGGGGTTTGGGTTTGGCTTCGGGCTTAGGGCATGGTCAGGCTGGGGCCTCAATCGTAAGAGCAGGCAAGTCGCAGCGCAGGCCGGAACTGCGTCCGCAAATGCTTCACGCTGGAGTCCTCGACGCATTGAAGGAAGGCCTCCCTGCTGCTTTCCAAAGACCTGCGCAAACACTCTGTAGCCGAAGACAAGACCTTGTCCTTCTCATTCGCGCTCTTCTTCAACTCCTGGCAAAGTTTCTGCGCGGTCTGATACTGGATGACTGCAGGAAGGAATACCTGGTCTAGCAACTGCGAGTTCACATCGGCTGTCCCCGCGTTCTTCACAAGCTTTGCAAAGTCCTTGACAGCCTCTTCGGCCTCTGCCTCCTTCTTGCTCGCTTCCACTCGGCCGCAGGCCATGTCAAACAGCGATTTGCCAGTGGCGTGCTGCAGAAAGAAGCGGGAGATGGCTGAGCCCAAGCCCTCGGCCTCCTCTTCTTCCTTGGACTCAATGTGGCACTGCATGGCGCTCAACTTGTCGATTGTCTTCAGGAGATCCTTGAGGTCGTTTTGGCCCAGAGTCAAGATGCCGCGAGCCGCTCCTAGTTCCTCCAGCAAAACCAGCGGGACAAAGTTGTCGCCCTCCGCTTTCCCGCAATCGATCAAGGCTGAGCAAAGCGAAGAAGCCTCCAAAAGCCCTCCTTCCAGGGCGCCTGAGGCAGCAAGGACCTGGAGATCTTGCTGCTGCACTGCACGCAGTGCAAGAATGACCCGGTTCTCCACCTCAGTCACGACGTGACTCTGGAGATCATCCCGGTCCAAGACCTTCCCGAGAGCCTCCATCTCTTCAGCCCCGCTCCACAGAAAGAGTCGGCTAAACTGGGCGTACTCCTGGTACAGGCAGTGGAGGTTGCCTTTGGCCAAAATGTACTTCAGCTGGAAGACTGGGCCCAAGGCCTTGTTAGGCTTCAGGACCTCGCTCAAGCAACGGACGCAGCTGTCGTACGCCTGAACCATCTGCTGAGCATCTGGCTGCTCTGCGCTAGAAGTGCTGAACAGCTTGTCGATGCTTTGCGCAGCGTTGGCTTGCTGCTCCAGTCGCTCTAACGCCGAGCCGAAGGACTCTTTGTTGGAGCTCTTTTCGGTTCTACGAACGAGTTCCTTGCAGCCCTTCGCAATGCTCCTGCACAGAATCGCCCTCTTTTGCAAGTCTTGCTTCCAGCCTCCCCGCGCGTGGGCTTCGGGAATGGCGTCGTTCAAAGCCAATCCGGCCAGCTTGAGCTGGTACTCCTCAATTTTTTCCTGCAGCGTGTTGAAAGCCCTCTTGGCACGCCCGTCCACGAGAAGCATATCCCCGCCTCCAGCCTTCGACTGGGCTGCGAGACCCGCCGAAGAGGCTGCAACGAGCGACAACATCTTCGGAGCGGATGACTCGGCCGGAGGCCTGCTGCGCTGGACTCCAGGCCCGCCCTTCGGAGCCTTTGCTTTGGCTTTCGCCTTCGCTTCTTGAGCAGCAGGGGCAGGCTGGGACTGGGACTTCGCTTTCGGCTGGCACCTGCCGAACAGCCTCTGCGCTGCAGACGGCCCGGCCTCAGCATCAGATTCGGACGAGCCCTGGACGCCCGGCTTGCTGCTGCTGCTCTCGCCAGAGGAGCTCTCGTCGCCGTCGGTCTTCTTGCAGGCGCCGTCCTTGGCAAAAATGCTCAAAAAGACATAGGCGGCTTAGGCCTAAAAGTTTAAAAGGCTGCTAACTGAAAGGCGACTGAAAGATTTTTAACGGCGCAACAGCGCAGTTTATGTTTGAGTTTGAGTTCGAGTAAACCCTGAACCTGTAACCCGAGCCTTGAGCCTTGAGCCTTGAGCCTTGAGCCTTGAGCCTTGAGCCTTGAGCCTTGAGCCTTGAGCCTTGAGCCTTGAGCCTTGCGCCTTGAGCCTTGAGTCCTTGAGCCTTGGCCTTTAGCCTTGAGGCTTGAACCTTGAACCTTCAGCCTGCCTTAAGCCTTAAAGCTTAAGGCCTTAAGGCTTAAGGCCTTAGGGCTTGGCTTAAGGGTCTTAAGCCTTAAGCATTAAGCCTTAAGCCTTAAGCCTTAAGCCTTAAGCCTTAAGCCTTAAGCCTTAAACCTTAAGCCTTAAGCCTTAAACCTTAAGCCTTAAGGCCTAAGCCTTATAAGCCTTAAACCTTAAGCCTTCAGCCTTCAGCCCTTAAGCCCTTAAGCCCTTGAGCCCTTGAGCCTTAAGCCTTAAGCCCTTAAGCCCTCAAACCGTAAAGCTTAGGCCTTAGGCCCTTAGACTCCTTAGACCTTAGGCCCTTAGGCCTTAAGCCTTCTAAAGCTGAAGCCTTAAGCCTCAAGCCTAAGTTCGGCCTGCGGCCTTGAGACTCAAGCTGCGCCCAAAGAGTGCCTGAACCTTAAGCCTTAAGCCTTAGGCCTGAAGCCTTGAACTTAAACCTTAAGCGCCTTAAACCTAAAGCCTTAAAGCCTTCAAGCTTTAAAGCCTCAAGCTTAAGGAGCGTTAAGGCCTTACGGTTTTAGTCTTGAGGCTCAAGGCGGACTTTAGAGTCTGTAAAACCTAAAACCACGTTAAGCCCGCCTTAAAGTCTACCTTAATGATTATTATAAGCCTTAAGCCTCAAGCCTCAAGAGCCTCAAGAGCCTTATAAGCCTTATAAGCCTTATAAGCCTTGTAAGCCTTACAAGCCTTATAAGCCTTATAAGCCTTATAAGCCTTATAAGCCTTATAAGCCTTATAAGCCTTATAAGCCTTATAAGCCTTATAAGCCTTATAAGCCTTAAGCCTTAGCCGCGTTACGCGCGCCAAACCTCAGCCCTTGACGGCCTTAACGCCTAACAGGCCTTAAGCCTTAACCTTAAGCCTTAAGCCTTAAGCCTTAACCGTAACCGCCTTAGCCCTTAGCCTTAACTCAGAAGTTCCAAGCCGCGCGGGAAGAGCTTGCGCCGGAAAAGTTCTGAATGCTCTGGAGGAGACTGCCCAGGGACAGCTCCTTGCCCTGGACAGCCACGTTGTCTCGCGCCTTTGCCGCTTGCTCGACGGCGTCCGCGGCTGCCTTTTTCTTCCGAGCGAGGGCCTCGTCGGAAAACAGGGAGTCCTCAGGGTTGTGCTCCTCGTCGATCTCCTTCATGAGCTTCTCGTCGAACTCGCTGAACTTGTAGATGCCAGCTGGCGAAGTGCTCACCCAGCAGCCCTTCACGACCTTGCCAAAGATCTCCTCCTCCACTTCCTTGGACTTGTCGTACTCGCCGCCGTGAATTGCCGGGTTCCAGGCATCGGGCGTCACAAACGATTTCTCGGGCTTCTGAAAGCGGCCGCCCATCCGGCGCTCGGCCTGTAACTTTCGCGTTGCAGCGAAAAGCTCATCCTTCTTTCGAAGCCGAGTGCCCTTGCTGTTGTCAGCGTGGGATTTTATCCACTGCTTGCGAGCTTCGAGAAATTGCTGGTGCTTTGTGTTGTTCTCCCTCTTGACGACTTCCTTGAAGTAGTCAGCGTAGGTGCCGAACTCCCAGTCGTAGCCTGCCAGGCTATGTCTGCGCTAGTTAGACCCTCAGAGTCACTTGCGATAACAAAGGCTTAAGGCTTAAGGCGGCTGTAGGCTTAAGGCAAGCCTTAAGGCGGCTTAAGGCTGGGCTCAAGGGGCGTATCAAGGTCTTCAAGTCTTTAAACTTCGGCATAGACTTTCGAGCCTTGGACTTCGAGCCTTATAGCAGCCTCAGGGCCTTGGGGTAGAGCCTTAGTCGCCTTAGTCTGCTTCGCCGTGAAGTCGCGAAGGCTTGGGTCCGGGGCTTTAGGATACTTTAGGCTTTGGAAACTTGAAGGCTTCAGGCTTGAGGCCTCTTTGTGATTTTTAATTAGGCTTCGGGCCGGGAGGATCAAGGGTCGGAGCCGAAAAAACCTCAGAGCCTCAGATTGCCTGGCCTGCAGGGCCTTCGGCCTTAGAGCGATTCGGCTTTACAGCATGTAGAACTTTACAGTAGTTTAGAGTTTAGAGCTCAGAGCTTAAAGGCTTGGATGCTTCGAGGCTTAGAGGCGGCGAGTCTTAGAGGCGGCTAGGCTGCTTACAAAAGCGGTTTGGCTGTCTCTTAATCTTCGAACCTTACAGCCTTACAGACTTGTTGGACTTATTATTAGGGCCCTCGGGCCTTAGGGCTTAGGCTTAGAGACTTAGAGCCTTGGAGGAACTTCTAATTCAGTCTTGTCTTTTAGCAAGTCTTAGTCTTAGACTCCTAGACTCTTCTTAGATTCTTAGACTCTTAGACTCCAAGACTCTTAGACTCCAAGACTGTTAGACTCTAAGTGACCCTAGGTGTCTAAGTCTAAGATTCTAGGACTCTAACGACTTAGAAGAGTCTGTTAGCTGTAGGCTTTAGAGTCAGAGTCTTGGAGTCTTCGAGTCTGAGAGTATGTCTGAGTCTTAGTCTTAGAGTCTTAGAGACTTAGAGCCTGTCTTAGAACTAGAAGAGGGGCCTTTGGCCTGGTTCTGAAGCCTGAAGGCGGTCTTTTCTGCAGCAGGAAGGACAAAAACTGTCGGCCTGGGGCCTGGGCCTGAGGCTTGAGGCCTGGGGCCTGAGGCCTGGGGCCTGAGGCCTGAGGGGCTGGGGCAGCGCTTGAGGCCTGAGGCCGAGTTGAAGCCCGCAGTAAAAAGGCAGAAGAAAGCAAAGCCTGCTGCAAAGGCCTGCTCTATGACGAGCGTCGTCATGGAGCCGACCTCTGGAGCAGGCCCCGGAACGTCAGCCCAGCATCAAAAATCAAGACAGCTCTGCGTCCAGCTCTGCGCTGGTGGCCGCAATCTGCGCTTCCGCGATCTCCTCCAAAACTCCCCCAGGTAGGACTTCAGTCTCAGCGTCGCTCGGATGGTGGCTCTCAGGCTGCTCTGACGGCATCGTGCTCTGCAGACTCAAACGCAAGTTTGCAAGTATCTCACCAACTCGACGAACATACTGCAGAGTAGCCGCGAAAAACCTGCCTGGGCTGGAAGCCGATGTTTCTTCAGAGTCCATTCTTCTGCGTTTTGCAGGCGGTGGTGTCACCGGAGGCGGGGTGGCGGCATTGTCTGCTTGCCTCTTCTTCTTAGGAGGCGTCAACATGGCTGCAGTGAAAACTAGGCCTGAGGCCGCTTTGGCTTTGAGTTTCAAGCTTTGAGCCACGAAGAAGCTGCAGTTGCGGCGTTGGCTCTTTGCGCCTCCCCCCCCTCCACCCTCCCCCCCCCCCCCCCCCCCCCCCCCACCCTCCCCCCCCCCCCACCCCCCCCCCCCCCCCCCCCCCCCCCCCCCCCCCCCCCCACCCTCCCCCCCCCCCCCACCCTCCCCCCCCCCCCCCACCCTCCCCCCCCCCCCCCCCCACCCCACCCCCCTCCCCCTCCCCCGCCCCCCTCCCTCCCCCCCCCCTCTCCCCTTCCTTTCCTCCCTCCCAAACCTCAAAACCCCCTCACCACACAAGAAACCTAATTTAACTCTCACCCTACTCGGCTTTGCGCCGCGCGTAAGCGCTCGCAATTTTTTTTTTGTCCCTTCCCCCCCCCTCCCCCCCCTCCCTCCTGAGACGTTGAGGCAGATCAAGTCGATGCGACCCTCTGGCACGCGGACCGTCTCATCGCTCTCCGGGTCGACGACCTTGCGATACTTCGCCCAAGGGATCCGGCCTCCGAGGAGACGATCCTCATCGTCGCACCCGTCCAAAGGACTCACATCTGTGGACTTGTGATTGCAAAGGCAGCATGTACAAACCTTGCTCAAGGAGTACGCGACCCTGAGCTTGACACTTGACCCCGACGTAGCACTTCGCCCCTCTTCCTCCGCATCCATGATCTGAGGCTCTAAAATCGCACAGGCACGCTTCGAACAAGCCAACTTGTCAGGCACGCAAGGGTTTAGTTTAGGGCTTAGGGGCCTTAGGGCCTTAGGGCCTAGGGTTTAGGTTAGGGTTAGGGTTTAGGGTTAGTTTAAGGCTTCAAGCTTAAGGTTAGGCTTAAGGCTTAAGGCTAAGGGGTTTAGGGGTTTAGGGTTTAGGGCTTAGGGTTTAGGGAAACCCTAAACCCTAAACCCTAAACCCTAAACCCTAAACCCTAAACCCTAAACCCTAAACCCTAAACCCTAAACCCTAAACCCTAAACCGTGAGGGCTTCGGGCCTAGGGCTTAGGGTTTAAGTTTAAGGGTTTAGGGTTATAATGTATGAGTATTATACAAAAACCTATATATTTTTATATAATATTATTAGAATTTAATTAAGTTTTATAACTTTATAATGATGTTTTGCCGAAGGTTTTGCCGAAACAATTAGTGTAGAGAAAACCAAGGATAACGTCGAGAAAACCACAGATAAGGTCGAGAAACGCACAGATAGAGTAGAGAAAATAGTTGCGGCAAATCATTAAAACATTGTTTAAAAGTTTGAAAAAATGTTAGATATTAACAACAAAAAATAAAGATAAAACCGGAAAAACAAAAGCGGTAGAGATAATCTTAAATCTTAAACTTAAACCTGAATTTACAAAAAAAAGAATCCTCGACTACTCATAAAACTTCAAACTCTGCGCAAGACAAGAGCTACTGATGGCAGCGACTCAGCACGCTGCGTGGGTGACGCAGCATTTTGCCGCGAAGCTGGGCACTGACTCAGCTGCTTGTGTGGCCAACTCTGGCGTCGAGCTCGGCCTCTGTGAGACCGTGCTTGAACTGCTCCAGCTGCACTCCGCCCTGCGAAACGTGAAAGCTCCGAGCATTCCCGCGCCACTCACTGTCTCGCAACCCGGCTACAAGCCAACGCTTCAGCCGCAGGACGCACTCGCCGTCGGAGAGGCGGCTCTCGCCGCTGCCAGCGCTGATCGTTTTCCGACATGGCAAAGCACGCCCCGAGGCATCCTGATGCCTCCCGCACGTTGCGCCCCAGCCGATGTAGACCTTCTCTGCGTAGATGGGCGCCACGGAGAAGGCAGGATGCCGCCCCCATGTTGTTGCGCGCTTCACATTCGATCGTGAGGGGGGAAGGGGCGCTGAGCGCGCCCGCGGCGGATCTCGGGAAGACGAGGCCGGCTCGTGCGAATCATCAGCACGCTCCTCCACAACCTCAGCACGAGACGCTAGGCTTAGAAGCAACCTTCCATCAGCCTGGAGGTTTGGGACAGCTGAACCTGGGGACGTGAGACTGAAGTGAGACTGACAAACTTAAGACTCCAGAAAGCCGAAGACCTAAGACTGAGCATAAGACTCCGAATGAGCAAAGCCTTAAGCCTTAAGCCCTTAAGCCTTAAGCCTTAAGCCTTAAGCGTTAAGCCGTTAAGACTAAGACCTTAGCCTTAGGCTCAAGATTCTGAATTCTCTGAAGATGTTAGAGCTGTTATTCTAGGTAGAGTCTTGAGTCTTAAGTCGTAAGAGTCTTGAGTCGAGTCCAAAGACTTCAGACCTCAAGGCTTCAGACTCTGAAGACCTATATAAGACTCTTCTCGCTTAAGACCCTGAGCGCTCAAGACTCAAGCCGACTCAAGCCTGTCTCAAGACTCAAGACCCTTAGCCTGGGCCCTTAATATTTCTTCAGGCTCGAGAACACGCAAGACTTAAGACTTAAGACTCAAGGGGCCTTAAACCTTGAGGCCTTAAGCCTTAAGCCTTAAGCTTTAGGCACTTTGGGCCTTAAGACGAGACTTTACGACTAGGCCGGAGGCCTGAGGCCTGAGGCCTAAGGCCCTGAGGCCTAAGGGAAGGCTTGAAAGCATGCCCGAAAAGCCTTAAAAGCCTTCAATAAGGCCTTAAGGCGACCTAAAACCTTTAAGACTTTAAGACCTTAACCTTGCTTGAGAGTAAACCTGCCTCAAGCCTTAAGCCTTAAGCCTTGTTGCCTTAAGCCTTTAACTTTCAGTTTAAGTTTAAGTCTTGAAAGCTTTTAAGATTTTAAGGCTTTTGAGGCTGAGGCGCCTAAAACGAACCCGACTCTGTGAGCCAAGGACTCAGGAGGCCTCTGACTGCAGACTTAGGGTTTAGTTTAGGGTTTAGGGTTTAGGGTTTAGGGCTTAGGGCTTAGGGTTTAGGGTTTAGGGTTTAGGGCTGATATTTCTTATAGGTCTTCTTATCCCTATGCTATATACTATATATACTATATGGTATAGTAATATTATGTATTATCTGATATTATATTATCTTATCTTATATTATACGACGACGACAGACATTACAATACATATATCATATATATATATATAATATATATACTAAATAATATCGTATAGTCGTATATAGCAAAAAATTATAATATAGTATATATCATTATAAGAACTATAATATATAATTATTAATACTAGTATTATATATGAATTGTATGTTTTGTATTGTATAGTATGTGAATTGTCTGTCTTGCATACTAGTGAAGCTGGGTCGCCTCAATCTCGGCGCTTGATCTCGCCGTTGGGTCGCAAAACCCAGCAGCGACGTCGCTGCGGGAGCTGCCTTGGCTGCTGGCCTCCTCCTCGTCCTCCGCGACTTCGTGGCGCTTTTCCTCAGCTTCTGGGTCAGCCGCTGCCTTCTTGGCTCTCTTCTTTGAGGGCTTGGGAAAGGCGCCAGGGTCCCGTCTTTTTGGCGGCTGCCTTGGTTTGAGCAGTTCGCGCAGGGCCTGCAAAGCCACAGCGGCGCTTCGCGATGAGTCCAAGTCGCGCTTAGCAGCCTCTGTATCAACTTTCTCTGCGCCCATGATGTCAAAATGCCAAAGCTTACGCACAGGCCCTACCTGAAGGGTGTAGAGAGTCCAATCGCTGGCGACCTGAAGCAAGCGCACGCACAGGGACTTGTTCGTGAAGAACACAAACTGCTGCCCGTCCGGAGCGGCGCTCATTCTCAACGACTTGGATACGCCTTCGGGCAATTCCTCGTTCATATCGACTTCCACCTTCAGCATGGCGGCCTCAATGGGCGGCTTGCGTGTGTTATAGGCAACCACATAATACTCAGCGCGCTCTGCGACTTCGGACAGGAAGGCCACGACGAGCGGCTCTTCTGTCATCTTCAACGGCCCCGGCCCTTTCTTCATGATCGCGTGAATCAAGAGACTGTGTAGGTTCTCCGCATCGGCCCGAGGCCTGCCTTCTGGCAAACTGCCGAAACAGGCGCCGCTGTCGCAGGGCGCGAAAAGGTTCTGGTTGGCCTGAGGCGCTCCGCTCATGCTGTCCAGATTCTCTGGCTGTAGCTGCTGCGCGCGCTCCTCGAACTGCTGCGCCATCTCTGCTTGGCGTGGCTGGTTGTCGACGACAACGTGGCGTGCCAGCGGAAAGCCCGCAGAGGAGCCCATGTCCCAAGGACCCCCGACGAAGCTCTCTGCTCCTTCCGCTTCCTCGGCCTGCGCCAACTGGGCCCTTGCAGCTGCGTTCTGCAACCTCGCCTGCTGTCTCCACCTCGCTCGTTCCTCCGGAGGGAGACGACTCCAAGCGCGGCTCGCTACGCCGATGCTGGACCACCCTGGTTTCCCCGGGCTGGCGCGCCAAGATGCCGCTGGGCCCGAGTGAACGCGTGCAGGCCCGTGCTGGCACGCTGGGAGCGAGCCCCGCGAATCCAAACCGGCCGATGTCTGTGCGTCCTGGGCGCTGCCTGCAAGCCAGCTCGAATGCGCCGTCTGCGCCACTGATCTACGAGGTGCGTCATGCATTGCGCATAGTGCCGGGCGGCTAGCTGGCTTGCTTTGAGCTTGTGCCCTCGCGTCGCCGTCCATCTCTGATAGCGGGCGAAGCACCGCTCAATGTCGGTGGACGTGGGCACCACCCGGTTGAAAACCGCTTCGAGGAAAGTAGCCGTCTTTGCAGAGAGTAGCTGCTCCGCAGAGGGACACATGGCTCGTAGCTTCTCAGAAAAGTTGTCCAGGCAGCACTTCCTGCTGGCAAGCAACTCTTCGGCGCAAGCTTGCCTTCGCCTCTCGTCGTCTGCCAGAAGGCCAAGCAGCTTCCACGGATATTGCTGCCACGGCTCATCAAGCTTTCGCCAGAGCTGGCCGACGATTGTGCAAACCGTTCGTCGAGTGGTTCGCAACCTGGCCTGAGGCCACTGCAGCACAGGGCCATAAAACCCGACGAGGGGCAGCCACGACTCGTTTTCGGTGGACTGCATCATGTCTGCAAACACAGCAAGCGCTCTCCTGGTAGGCCTCGCTGCCACCATGCCAAAGGCTGAGGACTCGTCGGGGGGAACCGCTGGGCGCTCAGTGAACCAGTGCGCGTGCTTGAACAGAGAGTAATGGATCCGCATCACTGGAGCAGTCAGAACGGTCCAGCTAAGTGTGCGAAACTGCGACTCTGGATCCTTCAAGAACATAACGGCTTTCTTCTGCCGCCTGCGTGCAAGTTTGCGCCACCTTCTGGTCTGGTCAATGGGCTGCCCCAGCGCGGCCCCCTGATCCTCTTGGGACGATTCCGACGCTTCGGGCAAGTTGCCAAAACAGGCCTCGAAAGCAGCAGGCAACACCCCGCAAAAATGCTGCTGCGCAGCCACGAAAGAAGCGCAGGGAGCCACTGTCGTCCATTTGTTCAGGGCTGGAATGCTCATGTGGTGCATAAGCACTTTGCGCACCAGCAAAGCGCCCTTCTCCACGGAGTCGGCGCGGTCCTGGCCCAGGTTGCGCGCTTCGATACAAGTTGTCTTCTACCTACTGCGATGAGTTATTAGTTTCTTCCTTCGAGCTTGACGAGAACTAGACTACAGGCTCAATGTCGAGCTTCAATGTGAGAGGTTTGGAGCCTAGACATACTAATATTAATATACTATATACTATATACTATATACTATATACTATACACCATATACTATATACTATATACACTATATACTGTATACACTATATACTATATATACTATATATACTATATACTATATACCAAATACTATATACTATATATTACTAGATACTATCATACTATACACTATACTGTATGCTATATACTATATACTATCTATATACTATATACTATATATTATATACTATATAATATATACTATACACTATATACTATATACTATATACTATATACTATATACTATATACTACTATATACTACTATATACTACTATATACTACTATATACTATATACTCTTTTTGTCATTGTCATTTGTCTATAGACTCATAGTCTCTTCTACTCTTCTACAATCTTCTGTGCTGCGGGACCTTTAGGCGCCTTTAGGCCTTTAGGTAAACTTTAGGCCCTTTAGGCCCTTTAGGCCCTTTAGGCCCTTTAGGCTCTACGGGCTTTAGGACCTATCGGACCTATAGGACCTATAGGCTTTGGACACCGGACTCTAGGCTTCAGACTTGCTGATTGAGCAATGCCTTTGAATGAACCAGGAGAGGCAGAAGCTGAAAGCTGACTTTCTTCGCGCACCGAGTTCGCAGGCAGAGATGCTAGGCCCTAGGCCTTATCAAGGCCTTCCAGCGGACGAGGCCCGAGGCCCTACCTCAAGAGGAAGGTGAATAGGCTACAGGCCATGCCATAAATCAGAAAACTATCTTTAGGCCCTAGGCCTTAAGCCTTAAGCCTATAGGATATGATGATAATGCTACATGCCATAGACCATAGGCCATAGGCCATAGGCCATAGGCGAGAGGCGAGAGGCCATAGGCCACACGCAGCCATACGCAGCCATACGCCCGGCCCTAGGCCCTAGGCCCTAGGCCCTGGGCCTTCAGGCTCGAGCCTTAAGCCTTTAAGCCTTCTTAAGCCCTTCAGCCTTCAGCACTAAGCCCTAAACTTGGCCCTAAACACGAAGCTCGAAGCCATAAACCCGAAGCCTTAAGCTTTAAGCCTAAGCCCTAGGCCCTAGGCCCTAGGCCCTAAGCCCTAAGCTAGCCCTAGGCCTAAGTTCCCTAAGCCCCCTAGGCCCTAAGCCCTAAGCCTTAAGCCTTAAGCCCCTTAAGCCTTAAGCCTTAAGCCCTAAGCCCAAAGCCCTAAACCCCTAAGCCTAAGCCCTGGGCCTAAGCCCTAAGCCCCTAAGCCCTAAGCCCTAAGCCTTGTAAAGTATAAATATAGTCTTAAAGGCCCTAAGCCCTAAGCCAAACTAATCCCTAAAAGCAGCCTAGGCCTAAGCTGGCTGGGCGGCTAAGCTGCTAAGCTGCTGATGCTAAACAAACGCTGGAATCGGCCTTGGGCCTGGAGTATGTTGCGAACCCAAAACCCGGCCTCAGGCCTCAGAGCGCAAGCGCGATGCATCAATCCAAAGCTGTCAGTCCAAAAAAAGGTCATCGTCTGAGCAAGACCAAGATGGCTCGCGCGGCACGCGCTCAGAGCCCTGGCTGGGCTCAGGGGCCTCAGCTTCGAGAGCCCCAGCTTCGCTCTCGCCAGGAAACTCGAGGTCGTCACGAGACGCCGCAAGCTCAGACTCGGAGCCCTCGCCGCTCTCCCCGCAATCGGCTTCGCTCTCAAACTCAAGGTCGCTGAGCGCGGCATCGGGCTGTAGCCTGAACCGCAGAGCTGACAAGGTGGCCCTTTCTGCTTGAAGCAAGCGCTCGGCTCCGCTGATATGATACGCTATGACGACGATCCGATCTCCCGTCCAGTGCTGGCTGTGATGCTTCAGAAGAGGGGAGAAACGAGCCCCAGGCATCTGTAGGCGATGCACGCGCCCGAGAGTGACGCCGTCCATGCCGACGACGTCCCCGTCGCCATCCTCTACCCAAATGCCGCCTCCCGAAAAACTCGAGACAGGAATGGCAAAGTTATGGGTGGCTTTGCAGTTTGAGCGATCCGAGTGTGTCGGCATGAAAACATTGCGCAAAACGCTGATAGAGCTGAACTCATCCTCGTTTGTGCAGCTGCGAACGAAGGAAGCGAGCATGTATGCGACCCAGGGGAACATCTTTGTGTTGGTGCGCAAGCCGCGCACTCCGCCATGCACGAACGCACCGACCGTGAAAGAGAAAGGCTCTCTGCCCTCCTGCCCAGCCTGTTGGTGTTGAGATCTGCCAGAGGCATCGGTGGGCAGGAGATCGCACAAGCGAGGAAAAAGCGACATCGGAACGTAGCTGTTGAGGACCGCTGCCTGAGCCAAGGCTTCCGCCTGCGTGGTCGGCTCCTGCAAGTCGGGAAGATCCACCTCGTTGCCTTCATTGATCGGCAAGCCGTGCGGCAGCCTGACCCCCTGATCGCCCTGATCTGCTGCTGGCTGGGATGGAGCGGCGACGGTCCTTCTGAAGCAGCTCGGCACGTCATTCAAGGGATCGTAAGTCGCTCTCTTGTCAGTCTCTTTACCGTCTTTACCATCAGGTTCGTCAGGCGCACGCATGGATGCGAAATCGGCGCTCCCTTCCCCCCTAATGCGAGGACGCGCGCTGCTAGAGCCCCTCAAAAACTGCAAAAGTGCAAAGCTGGGATCTAACTGCTCTTCAACCAAAACCCAAACCCAAACCTATACCCGGTCCAAAGACCTGCCAACAACTCGCAAACTCAGCACCCTAAGGCTTAAGGGCTTAAGGCTTAAGGCCTTGAGGCTTTACTAAGGCTTTAGGCTGGGCCTTTTGGGCTTAAGGCTCAGGCTTACAAGGACTTACGACTTAAGGACTTAAGGCTTAAGGACTTAAGCAGCTACGGGAGCTAAGGACTTAAGGGTGGGATCTTAGTGCTCTTCAACCAAAACCCAAACCTATACCCGGTCAAAGACCTGCCAACAACTCGCAAACTCAGGCCTTACTGCTCTTCAACCAAAACCCAAACCTATACCCGGTCAAAGACCTGCCAACGACTCGCAAACTCATTCCCTAAGGCTTAAGGCTTAAGGCTTAAGGCCTTGAGGCTTTAAGGCTCTAGGCTGGGCCTTTTCGGCTTAAGGCTCAGGCGTACAAGGACTCACGACTTAAGGAGCGAAGGGAGTTAAGGACTTAAGGCTTAAGGACTTAAGGCTTTAGGCTTGAGGCTTAAATCTTAAGGCTAAGGTAAGGGCTTTATGTAAGGCCTCAGGGCTTCAAATTAGGGCTTACTTTAACTGCCAATCTGGAAGGAACTACTGGCGGGCCGAGGGCCCAGGGTCTCAGGGCCTCGGTGGCTTTAGCTTTAGGACTTTAGGACTTTAGGCTTTAACTAGGTTTTAGGTCCTAGGCTGTAGGGGCCTTAGCCGCAGCATTAAGACCTTAGGCCCTTAGGGTTTTTTAGGTTTTAGTTTCTAGATTTGAACCCGACCCCGCCTGACAGCAACCGCTGCACACGTGGATGGGAGGTCCTGCAGCGAGCGGGCTGGTTTGGGTTTCGGCGGTTTAGGAAGTTTAGGGCTAAATTTAGGGCCAAGTGTAGGGCTTAGGCTTAGGCTTAGAAGTTTAGAATGTTTAGGGAGTTTAGGGCTTAGGGCCTAGGGAGTTTAGGGCCTGGGGTTTAGGTTTAGAGTTTAGAGTTTAGAGTTTAGAGTTTAGAGTTTAGGGCCTAGGGTTTAGGGCGGCTTAGGGCTTAAGGCTTAAGGCTTAAGGCTTAAGGCTTAAGGCTTAAGGCTTAAGGCTTAAGGCTTAAGGCTTTGGTTTAAGGCTTATAAGGCTTATAAGGCTTAAGGCTTAAGGCTTAAGGCTTAGGGCTTGGCTTGAGGCTTTAAGGCTCTTTAGGGGGGGGGCTGACTCTGAGAATCTAGACTCTCGAATAGGCTGCTTATGAGGCTAAGGGGCCTAGGGCGAACTACTTCATATGTCTGTCATAAGCCGCTCATACGCCTTAGCCTTGGAAAACTTAGAAGCCTTAGAATCCGTAGAATCTTAGCCCTTGGCCCTTAGCCTTAGAGGCTAATGCTAAGGCTTATGAGCGGCTTATGAAGGCGTCCTAATGATCCTGGTCCTGGTCCTAACGATCTATAACTCTAATTCCTCGCTTATGCCTTATGCCTTATGCCTTATATGCCATAATGGCCATAATGCCATATGCCATACGCCTTATGCCTTACGCCTTACGCCTTTACGCCTTGGCATCAATGCTTCTCTTATGACTTATGCTTCAACACACACCTGTGCGAGACTGTTTCTGCATCGCGTCGACGCGGAAGATTCGGACTCAAACCTGGCTCGGACCTACGCAAAACGCCTGCGAGAGCAGGCAGCGGCGCAGACCAGGCCAGAGGCCAAAAAACCCAAGGCCGCGTGAGGAAGGGCCAAGGGCCAAAGGCCAAAAGGATGAAGGGCTTCAGATGGCGAACGTGTTCATCAGGCACTAAGTGGCCCTAAGTTGGAATGCTCATACTTCTAAGGGGCCAGAGGCCTAAGCCTAAGCCAAACCCGAATGAGTCCTTGGGCTAGTGGCAGCAAAATGCTAGGCTAAAGCTGATCAAGGTGCCTGATGCACGTTGCCTCGGCCCAGCTCGGTTTCCGATGCTCTGGAAGTCTGGATGTATTTGGGAGCCCACATCTCGCTTACAACAGTTAGTTAGCGGTAACAGCTACAGCGTTACAACATCTAGGCCTCTAGGCCTTTGTAAGATGCCAGAACTATACTAGCGCAGAGCATGCTGGAAGCCGGAAACTCGCTAGCGGCGATAGGCATAGGCGTAATCGCGGACTGACGGCTTGGCCAGCAGCGGACGGCCGCCCCAGTAGTCTTGCAGCCAGAGAGCAATGCTCGTGTGAGACCTGAATGCGTGGTCCACGACCCCTGCGTTTCGGCCGCCTCCAGGGGAGTTCAGGATGTTGACCACCATGGCGTATGCCTGATCGTCCGCCCCGGCCGCGTGGTAAAGGCCCCAGCAAAGCCGCTTCATCACCCACCAGTTGCCTCTGCTTGCGGCAATGTGGAAAGGCGTCTGTCCCGTCGGCGCCCTCATGGAGTAGGTCGCCGGGGAGCAGGCCTGAAGCAGCGCGAGCATACACTGCTGGAAATTCCGCGTGTCCTGCCACTTGTCAACCAGAACCATGAGCGGCGTCCAGTGCTGGGGCTTGCCATCCCACTTGGTCACAACGTCGCACAAGTGCTTGTTGATCTCCAGGCATTTCTGCACGATGGCTGGAAGCCCCAGTCTGCAAGCGTGGTGCAGCAAGGTTAGCCCATTGTGGTCGCAAATGGACATAATCCCCGCCGGGGACACCTGCTGCAAGAGCGGCAGCGAGTCCATGGGGCACGCACCAAGCAGGGTCATCATGACCTTCTGGGCAAACTCCGCCGCGTCGATCTTCTCAGACTCCTTTGCGAGCTGCGCCTGCGTCTGCAGCCTCTGGTTGTGCAGCAGGATGAGAAAGCGCTGAAGCACCTCGGACGCATTGGGGTCGAGCGCCAGCTGCTTCAAGATGTCGTTCAAGTCTGTCTCGACATCGGGCGCCGGCTCTTCTGGCTCCGCGTACTCCTCATCATCGCCGCCCCAATCTGGACCTGCAGCGGCGTAAGGCTTCGAGCCTAGGGTTAGGGTGAGGGCTAAGGCTAAGGCTTAAGCCTAAGAGCCGAATAACGGCGGTAGGATAAGGCCTTACGGGCTTGAGGAAGGCTAAGGCTGAAGGCTTAAGGCTTAAGGCCTATGGCCTATGGCCTAAGGCCTATGGCCTAAAGTGGCCTAAAGCATAAGGCTTAAGGCTTAAGGCTTAGGGCTTAGGGCTTAAGGGCTTAAGGCTTAAGGGCTTAAGCGCTTAAGGGCTTCAGGGCTTCAGGGCTTCAGGGCTTAAGGATTAAGGCTGAAGGCTTGAGGCTGAAGGCTTAAGGCTTAAGGGGTAGGGCTTAAGGCTTAAGGCTTAAGGCTTAGGCTTAAGGCTTTGGGGCTTTGGGCTTGAGGCTCCCAGCCTTCTTCTTCTTCTTCCATCTTATCCGCGTCCTCCATTCTCGCATCTTCCTCCTCTTCAACGACGGTGTCACCCGCCCCAAGGGCTGTCGTACCCGCCCCGGGGGCCTCGTGGGGCACCGATTCGGCTTGGACACCCATGAGCTTGGCGTCCAGAAGCTGCAGGTCCTGCATCAACTTTCGGATTTTCTCCCTGCGGGCTTCTGGATCTTCTAGCTCGTCCTGCACAATGGAGTAGATGTCGGCGTCGGACTCGAGCTCTGGCTGCAAATTGACGTAGCCGCCGTCGGACATGTCCTCGTCGCCGGAGCTGATCATCTCAAAGCTTTCCACACCCGAGCTGTCCCCGGCCGCTGCGACGAGGAGCTTTTTTCTGGGCCTGGCCTCGCCAACTCCGCCTTGAGGCGCTTGAGACGCTTGAGACGCTTGGCTCTGCTCGCCTTCGCTGGGGGCCGCCGAACCAAGGCCAGAGGCCGGCTGAAATCCAGCATCCCTGGTCGTCTGGAAGCCAAGCTGCAAACATCGCCTTCTGAAGCCGATTGGCGTGAGAATGTCGTTGGTCTTGTCCAAGCGAGTCAACCCGGCCAAGGCCTCGAGGCCTTGCACCCGGTCGAAGACCTCGCGGAGGTACTCCAGCGGCATTCTGCGGACCGCCCGGTACTTGTTCGGAGGCGCCCGAGACTCCAGGTCCACGATGTTTCTGGCAGCGTTGAGGTGCGTGTGAATCGGATCGGCCCCCAGCGTCAGCAAGCGCATCAAAGTGAGCGCGCTCAAGGTGGCGCTCCTGTGAGCCCCGTTGCGGCAGTAAATCAAAACCGACTTACCCGCCACAAGGGCCTCAACCGCCTGGTCCACCGTCTTCATCAGCTTGTCGAAGGACACCTCGCCGTTGGCGACCCCGGTGCCGTCCATGACCGCCAGGCTTCGGAGATCCATGGACTGGGCTTGACAAGGCTTCGAGGCCGCTGGAAACAGAACGGTGATTTTGTTGGCCCTCAGAATGCTGAGGTTGCTCGCTGCAGCTTCGCCTCCAAGCCACAGTTTGCCTCGGCAACCCGGCGAGAACAAGGCCATGTCGAGCACCAAGCTCAGCGGATGCCTGTCGGGACAGCACTACAGGCCAACAGGCATTAGGCATTAGGCTTAAGGCTTAAGGCTTAATAAGGCTTAAGGGCTTAAGGCTTAAGGCTTAAGGGCGAGCGAATAAGGCTAAGGCTTAGGCATAAACTATCGCTGCCTATATACTATACTATATACTAATATACTATATACTATGTACTATATACTATCTACACGCTGTGTATGCCAAATGCCACGTGCCATAAGCCATATGCCTAAGCCTTAAAGCCTTAAGCCTTAAGCCGAACCTCAACTTAACCTGAATCTTCAGCAGCACATGCCTAAGTTTCAACAAGCCCGTGCCTCTCGTTGTAAGCGTCGCGCGCGTGACGCGCAGCCACAACGCCGCCGTAGGCTTCCGAGACCAGCATCGCGCGCAACTGCTCTGTTGCTCGGAGCAGCTTGTCGTCTTGGCGAAGAGCTGGACCCGGCTCTCTGCGTGCATCGTGGCTTGTGAAGAGCGCCCCAAGTCCGGACAACCTGATCGACTGCAGAAGCATGGCGAGGCTCGAAGTGCAAACAAACACAACTCACAGTGGACTCACAGTCACGTCCACGTTTGCTGAAGATGGCTGAAGGGGCCACTTAGGGCTTCAAGGCTTCATGAACTTCAAGGACTTCAAGGCTTAGGGTTTAGAAATTTAGGGTTTAGGAGTTTAGGGCTTAGGGCTTAGGGCTTAAGGCTTAAGGCTTAAGGCTTAAGCTTAAGGCTTAAGGTTAGAACCTGGGCCTAGGGCTTAGGGCTTAGGGCCTTAGGGCTTAGGGCCTAGGGCTTAGGGCTTAGGGTTTAGGGCTTGGGGCTTAGGGCTTAAGGCTTCAGGCTTAAGGCCTAGGGCCTAGGGCCTTACACTAAGCCTTACACCTTATAGGGCTAGGGCTTAGTGGCTTAGGCTTAGGGCTTTAGTGGCTTCAGCTCAGGGCCGGCTTCGGGCCTAGGCAAGCTTAGGGGGAGGGCTTAGGGCTTAAGGCTTAGGGCTTAGGGCTTAGGGTTAGGGCTTAGGGCTTAGGGCTTAGGCCTTAGGCCTTAGAGCTTAGCTTAAGGGCTTAGGGCTTAGGGCTTAAGGCTTAAGGCTTAAGGCTTAGAGGGCTTGAGGGCTTCGGGCTTAGGGCCTGGGCTTAGGGCTTAGGGGCTTAGGGGCGTGGCTTAGGGCTTAGGGCTTAGGGCCTGGAGCCTTCGGGCTTAGGGCTTGGAGGCTTAGAGGCTTAGAGTTTAGTTTTTTTTTAGAGTCTAGGGTCTTAGAGTCTTAGAGTCTTAGAGTCTTAGAGTCTTAGAGTCTTAGAGTCTTAGAGTCTTAGAGTCTTAGAGTCTTAGAGTCTTAGAGTCTTAGAGTCTTAGAGTCTTAGAGTCTTAGAGTCTTAGAGTCTAGAGGAGTCTAGAGTCTAGAGTCTAGAGTCTAGAGTCTAGAGTCTAGGGACAAACAAGAACGCCGAGCAAACCCTTCCTGACGCTCAAACGCAGTTCAACTCAACGCCAGGCCTACGCAATTAAAACCACCCTGGTACAAGTGCAACCTTTGCTCTGAAAGGCAAACCCCACCCTACCCTGCCAAAACATCCCCCGCGCATGAGCAAACCGGCGGTCCTTTCCATGGACCAGGGAAGAAGGTCATGAAGTCGCTCACCGCCGTCGCGAAGCCGCGGGCTGGCTGGTCGTCCTCGCCTTGCGGAGCATTCAAGATCACTAAATCTAGCAAAGCCCTGGCCGCTACCCGGGAACGAGCCCACTCCTCCTGCAAACCTTCGGGGTCTTCTTCCATGACGATGAGCCTGGCAGCTAAAACTTCCTGGACACGCTTGCCAATGGTTCGCATCCACGACCTTGAATCATGGTTTTCGATACTGCAAAGCAACCCGGCAAGATGCCCAACAACTTCGTGGCGCGCTCGATCACGTTGCCATTGCGATGTTGCGCGCAAAGCGTGGGAATCAAGCCAACTGAATCTGGCAGGCATGCGCACAGGTGCTTTAGTAACTTGATGTTTGCTGGGCCTGCGTCGCACGTGATCAGGACAGCACGCATCTCTGCGTCAACTGAGGTCACGCCCGGCCAAAGGCCGCCAACTCCAGCACCTAGCACAGGCCACATGGTAGCTGCCTTTTTCGTTGGCAAAACGCAAGGGGCGCGAACAGCATCAAAGTCAACGACTTGCCCTTGACTGCAAAAAGTGATCTGAGAATGGCTTGCGAGGACAGACCAGGCAGCTTCCCCCTCACTGCCCATGTCTAATTCCAACTCTGTCTCATCGAACATCATATTCAGCACTGCAAAATCAAGAGGACCGTCGCCATCGTGATGTAGCTGCCGCTGAAGCTTAGAAGCGTAGTCTTTCTGGCCCTGCTCAATGCACTCAGCCACGAAGAGTCTAGCGCTCATCACGCCTGAGGCGCTTGCCCCTTCCATTTGACCTGCAGCGCTGCGCGAGCTCATGCTACCCGGCGAGAAGCCTCCCCGCAGAATTGCGTCCGGAGTCCATCGCTTCCACGCTCCTTTGCCCTTTACTGCAGAGCGCTTGGCGCCGCTGCTGACAGGGAGTATATGATCTTCGGTTCGTCCCCTGCCGGATCTGTTTGTCTGCTGCGCTTGCAGACGAAAGGACGCCTGCGCAGAACTCGCCCGCCGCTCCCTGGCCTCCACCCGGCGCAAGGCCCTGCGCCGGGCACGCAGTCCACCCGCCCTGGGGGCCGCAGCCTGTTGCTGCTGCCGCGCAACGCCATGGCAAACGCCACATGGCCACGTGGCAAGTGCCGGGCCAAGTGCTTAGGGACCGAAATGACTTAACGCTACGCTCACGTAAGGCAATTACACGGGGCTGAGCGTCAGACTACCCTGACCCTAATGACCTCATGACAACAACTGTCAAAGAATGCGGAATCCTGCTGCGGCGCGGCGTAAGTGAGCAGAGTTGAGAATTGAATATTAAACTTAGGCGTTCTTAGTTCATTTTATCATTGTCCTGAACTCAATGCCTCAATGACTCAATGCTAAACCAACCATTGTCGCAAAGAATGAACAAGCCCAGAACAACTGTTGCAAAGTAAGAAACAATTGCTGCAACAACAGAACATTTTAAGAAACAATGTTCGCAAGAATTGAACAATATTCAGAAACAATTGTCGCAACAATTGAACAATATAAGAAACAATTGCCGCAATTGCCGCAAGAATTGAACAATTTGTTGGAAGAATTGTAACCCCAAGCCAAACTATTTAAGAATATTTCTACCCAGTTCCGGGGGGGGACTCTCCACCGGGCTTTCTGAAAACTCCTAAGTTTATAGCGCTTGTAGGGTTTCTAGAGCTTCTAGAGTTTATTCGGGTTTACTTGAAGGAAAAGATTTAGGGCTTGGGCTTGGGTTTTGGGCTTGCTGTGGTGTACAGAAGCTTCGAAAGATAGAACGGAGATTAGCTCGAACCACTCCGTCGTATGCGAAGAGCCAAGGGCGTCGAATCAGCTCCGCGTTGCGCGTAAACCCTACAACTTAAGCCGTAAACCCTAAACAAACCCCAAACCCTAAACCCTAAGCCCGAAACCCTAATTCATAGTCAGAGTCTGCCGTAGGAGTCGCGCCAGCAAAGTGGTCAGCCAGAGGCTGACGTACACTAAGCCCCGAAACCCAAGGCCCAAAAAGTCATGGGGCTTATGGTTGAGGGTTTAGGGTTCAGGGTTTAAGGTTTAAGGGTTTAGGGTTTAGGGTTTAGAGTTTAGGGCTTAGGGTTCCCGAAGCCCTGAAACCCTCGATCTCCCCAGCTCTGCTGGGAGCTGGGCAGCGCTCCGGCCGACTCGGCCACGTGCCGCAGGGTGGTGACCAAGTCCTGTGAGCTCCTTCCGAAATTCAGCATCTCGGGAAGGGTTTAGGGTTAGGGTTTAGGGTTTAGGGTTTAGGGTTTAGGGTTTAGGGTTTAGGGTTTAGGGTTTAGGGTTTAGGGTTTAGGGTTTAGGGTTTAGGGTTTAGGGTTCAGGGTTCAGGGTTTAGGGTTTAGGGTTTAGGGTTTAGGGTTTAGGGTTATAGGATTCACGGTTTAGGGTTTACAGCTCAGGGCTTAGGGTGTAGAGTTCGCTTGAGGCTTAGGGCTTGGGGGTCACGCGTCAGGTTTCTGCCTAAGGGAACAAAGCCTCCAAACAAAAGCAAGGGAAGAAGGGTATCACTCGAAACTCAAGTTTTCATTGATTCCCCTCCCCATGTCAAACCAACGATGTCTCTGTGATTCCACTTGGATGTTATGCGGAAACCGTTAAGTTCTAAGGCCTTCGTGCTCGAATCATAGCCCCTAGACACTTAACCCTAATCCCCAAACCCTAAACGCCAAACCCCAAACCCCAAACCCCAAACCCCAAACCCTAAACCCTAAACCCTAAACCCTAAACCCCAAACCCTAACCATCCTCACATCCGGCCTCAAGGCTGTGGGGAGGTCGAAGTCGCGTTCAAGGCGCTCGGCCTCTGAATCCGCAAAGATGATAGGGCTTGGGGCTCAGGCCGTAGAGTTCAAAGGGTTTAGGGTTTAGGGCTAGGGTTTAGGGTTTCGGGTTTAGGGTTTAGGGCTTAGGGCTTAGGGCTTAGGGTTGCTAGGCGACCCCACGTGTTCCGCAATCTGCCCTGATACTCCCTTGTAGAACCTCTTCAAGACAACAAGTGATGACACCACTGGAGGCGGAAAAATGACAAAGGATAAAGGATAGTCCCTAACGGAAGCCAGCCGAAATCCCAGACCGCCAGCCAAAGCAACACACATCTAAATCCCAAACCCGCAAACGAAACCCCTAAACCCTAACCCTAAACCCTAAACCCTAAACACAATCCCTTCCCCCTAATATTAAACGGGGGGGAGCCCCCCCCCGCCCTTTAAAAAATCGAAATGTGTTTTTTAGTATTAGGGGGTATTTTTATCGAAATGTCATAATTCATTAGACTTCAGGGTTACCCTAAACCCTAAACCCTCTGAGGGTTTTATTGGTGGTGAAGGATTTCTTGGAGGCCTGAACCACCCCCCCTAATTCGAAATGGGGTTTAAAAGGCGGGCTCGGTTTCGGCAGGATGTTCCGGAAAGTATTTTTAGTATTAGGGGTAGCTTTAATAAAAGGGGGAAGCGATTAAACCCTAAACCCTAAACCCTAAACTATAAACCCTAAACCCTAAACCCTAAACCCCTAAACCCCTAAACCCTAAACCCTAAACCCTAAACCCTAAACCCTAAACCCTAAACCCTAAACCCTAAACCCTAAACCCTAAACCCTGCACCAAGAATAACGACACGGCCTCCCAGCTGTGCATCCTCCCAGCGCACTGGGCCACGTCGCCCGCCTCGGCGAAGCTGCGAAGGGCCAGAAGGGCCCGGACCTTCCCAGAGCTTAGGGTTTAGGGTTTAGGGTTTAGGGTTTAGGGTTGAGGGTTTAGGGTTTGTGGGTTTTCGGGTTTGTGGGTTTGCGGGTTTGAGGGTTTGAGGGTTTGAGGGTTTGAGGGTTGTAGGGTTTGAGGGTTTGAGGGTTTGAGGGTTTGAGGGTTTGAGGGTTTGAGGGTTTGAGGGTTTGAGCCTACAAACCCCATAAACCCTATAAACCCTACGAACCCTACAAACCCTACAAACCCCGATAAGCCCTATAATTCAACCCTACAATGAAAACCCTACAAACCCTATAATTAACACCTTATAATTAAAACCTTGTAATTAAACCTTATAATTAAACCCTATAATTAAACCCTTATAATCAAAACCTCATAATTAAACCCTATAACCCCTATGGTTTCGCGGCAGCCGTCGCTCACGGGGGCCGGCCGGGGCCTCGAAGCCACGCGCCTGCAGCAGCTGCCGTACTTCCTGGAATGGGAAAACGCATGGGAGGCGTTCAGGGTTTAGGGTTTTGCGGTTTAGGGTTCAGGGTTTAGGGTTTAGGGTTTTGAGTTTAGGGTTCAGGGTTTAAGGTTTAGGGTTCAGGGTTTTGACAAGGGTTTAGAGATTATGGGATCCCTAAGTCCATAAGCCTGAGCCTCTACTAGCACTCACTCCTCGGAAATCCCTCAAACCACGGGGGGGGGGGGGGGGGGGTGGGGAGGGGTGGGGGGGGAGTGGGAGGGGGGGGGAGTGGGGGGGGGGGGGGGTGGGGGGGGGGAGTGGGAGGGGGGGGGAGCGGGGGGGGGAGTGGGGGGGGGAGTGGGGGGGGGGGAGTGGTGCGGGGGGGGGGGGGGGGGGGGGGGGGGGGGGGGGCTAAACCCTAAACCCTTGCTCAGCCCCAAGCCTATATCAGCAGAACAACTCCAGGTTGCTTTTTGGCAGAAATACACGAGCACGAAACACCTAAGCCCCCCCCCCTTAGCCCACAAACCCTGAACCCTAAAACTCTGAACCCTATTAACCTTAAACTCTAAACCCTAAACCCCTAAACCCCTAAACCTGAAACCCCTAAACCCACAGTTCCTACAAACCGCGGATTGCAAAGCCAGTGGCCTTGGCGCCGTCTGCGGGCGGCTTGGGGGGCGCTCGAAAGATGGGATCTGGTCGCACGGGTTCCTGGGAGCCAAAAAGGGGGTTTAGGGTTTAGGGTTGAGGGTTTAGGGTTTCAAGGGTATTCGGGGTCAGGGTTCAGATTTCAGGGTTCAGGGTTCAGGGTTTGGGGTTTAGGGTTAAGGGTTAAGGGTTTAGGGTTTAGGGTTTAGGGTTTAGGGTTTAGGGTTTAGGGTTGCACAAACCGACCTTTGAGCCCTGATTAACGTCTTATTCCAATCACATGGTTGCGGTGTGAGCACAAAATAGAACTGCTTACATATGTTTGTTTAATCCATCTCGACCCTAGACCCTAAGCTCTAAACACTATAGACCCCCAAGACAATTAACGTCTAAATCCTAGGAATTCATCCCCCCAAGCCCTGAAATCTAAACCGCAAAGCCCTAACACCCGAAGACGAACGCCCGACACTCTGAACACCTTGAAAACCCTAGATCCCCTCGTGCCTGCGCCATCGCGTCCTCCTTCGCTTGCTGCGCAGCCCCGGCGGCACCCCTCGCGAAGTCCAGAGCGCGCCTTTTTGAGGGTTAGGGTTTAGGGCTTTGGGGGTTTAGAGTTTAGGGATTTGGGGGTTTAGGGTTTAGGTTTAGAGAGTTGGGGGCTTAGGGTTTAGGGACTCTTCGGTCAAGGGTGGTCCAAGGCTTGCAAGTCTGCAGGGAGCTCTTGAGCTTCTTCACCAAGCTCCCCTCAGTCACCCAAGCTCTACAACACCCTAAACCCTAAACCCTAAACCCTCAACCCTAAACCCCAAACTTTGGTAACTTGGAAGAATCAGGCCGCAGACATGACAAGACAATCGACTCCATGAGACTGCCAGGAAACAGCCATTGTTCTTCGGGTCTCGGGTTGAGGGTTTAGGTTTTAGGGTTTAGGAGGGTTTAGGAGGGTTTAGGGTTTAGGGTTTAGGGTTTCGGGCTTAGGGAAACA